GCTAAATTAGGGACGGCTAGCGCAGATAGCCCTCGTGTAGCTTTGCGCGAAATTCAAAACAAACAAACAAACAATCATATGTAAGTTTTCAGACTTACAATACTAGGGTTAGATTTCCCGTGGTGGATAGAACATAAATAGCCCACTTATAGTTTCTGTCTAAAAATAAAAATAAACACTTATTATTTATTACTTAATTTTTTACATAGACGAAACAAACAACAATTGAAAAAACAGAAACAAAGCCTAAATATTTTTGAGTCATCTTCAAATAACAGGGGTGAGAGATGAAAACCCCACCATCAGAGTTTTGAATTATTTCTTTTAGTAACAATTAACAATGCAATACTTTATTTTCTTGACATATAATTGTAAAATACGGTTGTAGTATTCCAGGCGTATATGCATTGAGGTTTAATATATTGGTATTCTGTCCCAGCCTCAAATATCCACGAAAATAGAAGTATTTTATAATACGCCTGTTAGTAGTGATGTCAAAAAATCTTTCAAACTTGATACTAACTTCTCCAGCAATTTCAGATGATACGGTTTTACCTATACACCTATACTAGAACTAATGATGACGTCATCCAATAAATACTTCATTCAAGCATGGGAAAAGTGACAATACAGACTTTAACGTTAAACAAGAAAAATTAAACGATTAAAAAAGAAAAATGCAGTCCAGTCAACTTAAGATAACCAAAGGGTTTTATTTCTTCAACTACAAGTTCTACAAATACAATTTGTACAAGTTCTCCTAACTAACGATAGTCCTAACTTTACAAAGAACACTGGAAAATTATTTACTTGTTAATTTTTTTCGTATTTATGTTTCTTCTCGTATTTATATTTCTTCGTCGAAACACAATATCAAAATTTAAACTTTGAATTAATTGGCTGATTTAATAATTAATCACCAATCTTAATATTCACAAATTAATCAACAATCTCATTATTTAATTTCTGTAATGCTTATTGGTATATGAAATACATATTAATACTTATAATAAACGGTTTTATAACACCAAATTTGTTATCTTTCTTTAATTAGGCAGTCAACGTTTCGTTTTACAGCATCTTCAGAAGGTTCCAGAAAACACAAACAGTAACGGACAATACAAAGCTTCAGTTAAGGTTTTTGTTTCAGTGGAACACTCCCAAAGAAGCTGTAAAACAAAACGTTGAGTATCCAATTAAAGAAACATAACAAATTTGGTGTTATAAAGTCGTATATTACAAGTATTAAAATCTCTAGCATAACTCATATTTTTTATGTCTCTCAAATAGTTCCCTACACTTTCAAGATGAGTCCAGACGTTAAGCAACTCGCACATCACGTGTCATCAACACTCTGTGGCGAAACAGCATTACAAACAGAATTTAAAGTGGGCAGTGCTCTTCTAAGGGTATTTACAGATATAATTTATTTTTTAACAAAGTCATAACAATCCAAACGTCTCAGTTTTTTAAAACTACATTAATATTATCTTAACACATAAAGACGTAAGATTAGAGTCGGCTATTAGCAATTGTTTGTTTTTAATGCTTTGGTTGGTAATGGTAATTTCACAATTCTTTAGATTTTTTGTTAGTAAATAACGATAAATACACTAAAAAGTTTTGTAACAGATGTATAACAAAATACTAATACTGAATTTCACATTTACAGGTTCTACTTGATTAGAGAGGCTATAACCAGGGTCGTTGGTAGAAGTAACCACTAGGTCCACAACGAATGAATACTGTTGCATCATCGAGTCACATGACTACTGTGACGCAACGTTTCTAGAACTATCATGTACTTTGGCGAATGTTCTAGTTCTTACTAGATATAGGGTAGGCTGGTATATAAAAGAGGGGAATGTAATGTCTGGGTAGACAGTGAGTAATTGAACTGCAGTCAGAGAGCACGAGAGACGTTCGTTGATTAGCGTTTGTTTTAACGCGATTGTTGAAGTTGAGTGTATCGGTAAAGTTATATTCGGAAAGAATAAACCAGTTTTATTAAGTAAAGACTTGTGTCGCTTAAGTTTCGTCGGTACGAAGTTACGGAAAATCAATTAACAACGGTGACGTAACAATACATTCGTTACCGGTTCCCACGATAGAATACCGCCTCCGATGGCTGTATAGTCGTCTGCACACAACGATAAGCATGTAGATGTATACATGTACTTGCTTGACACTAGCAAGCAGAAATAATTCTGTGTGCTTTATTGAATCCTCAGCTATTTTGACATATTTCGTTTGTTAGAACCATCTATCTCTTTGTGCAGAATTAAGCCAACTTTAAATAACTTATTGATTTATGTATTCATTCAACACTCTGAGTATCTGTGTCACCAATCTAAAAAGCTCTTTAAATATTTACTTTCTAATATTTAACTTTTCCGCACATATATTACTTTGAAAGACAAAATTATGAACAAGTTTACTGCAGTTTCTTCATCTTTGTTGTTACTGTTTTGGAGGTACGAGCGGTTTGGATATCGTCTGCTTTCTTTGTGTGAAGACCATTCTGATTAGCTATCATATTCCAGGTAAAGTCTAGCAGCTTTGCTCTGACGTTTTTTCTACGTTATATGCAAAAACAACTACGAGGGCTGGCAAAGAAACCTTCACTCCACCTCTAAATGACCATTAACTCCACATATGATGATAACACACCAAATGAACATAATGCATGATAAAAAAAAGTTGGAACTTAACAAGTTGCCCCAAAGACCAGGTTATTGTCAGAGACTGGCGTTTCAAATACCCTCCTCTTTTCTCTGTCTCTCTTTTATTTTTGATTTTACGTATTGCCTTCCCTATATTTCTGTGCAGGGGCGTAGCTGGGGAGGTAAGGTTGAGTGTTAAGTTACCCAGGACGTTTGCAACTCAACAGTTTATTACTGTGCTGTAAATTAATCTCCTCAATCGTTTTGCTCTCTTAAGTTTTAAATACTTTATAGTTTTACAAGTTTCATTTAGGCTATTGGCAAATCAGTTAAATTCTTTGTGTAGAAGAAAAGGTTCTTGGAAAAAAAGACCTACTCTTATCCTGAAGTGCTGACTACGCCCCTGATATAAAAATGTTTTGCTGGTATCCAAAACGTAGCATGCATTTTAACAGTTCGTATATGAAATATGATTTGGATCTTTGTCAAGATAACATAGAATTTTATGCTTCCAATATATTATTGTGTTTGAATTTGGTATATTTGTAGAAATCGTTAAACACAACATAAACATTTTCACAATGCCTAGAAATATTAATTTCTGTGGTTCACCCTGTCTTTGCTTTTGTAAAATATTTCTTTGTTGTTTCTAAGAAACAAAACGATTTTGAAAATTCAGACTACAACGCTAGCTATATAAGTATATTACTTATTCAATGAATAATAATAATAATAAAAAACAGACAGATACTTACGGTTCAAAAAGCCGTTTTCGTTTTTAAAAGTCCCGATTCTTGGAAATCTTTTCTTGCAGAACGTGCAGTTAATTAGTTCAGTAATAATCAAAGTCAAACGAAACAAGTCAATCTCGTTGTCGTCGCACTACGTTGGTGAGACAAACTGATCGCGCTAGCATACGACTCTGAGTCCATAAATCTTTCTTCTGCAAAAGTAGTTTACGCGGGACGGAGACGACTAAAGAGCGCAAGCTCACGAAGATACTGTTAAAGCTTTTTTTGGTGTGTGAAGCCTACTGTAATAAATGCGAATGAATAACTAATAAGGTGTAATCTGTATTTCTTGTTATTTTTGTTCACACTGTCCTTTCTTTTTTGGTCTTGAGACTAAATTGCATTATTTGCTATATTACCTATCGAAATAAGCAAAAAAAAAAAACATAAATATATTTCCACTGAAATTATATTTGCTTTACAGATCTTACGTTATTAATATTGAATTCTCTTTAAATCAACAGATTTCTACGTAGTAAATTACTAATATTATATTATGATTCCCCTCTGTTACTAAAGTAAGGCAAGTGGATAATTTTATTTATTTTAAATAAATTTAAAACTAAAATTTCAGTTAAGATAACCGTTGGGTTAAAACTTAAACATACACATACAAAAGTTGATTAAAAAAAAAATGACCGTTCACTTCACAGAGCGCTGTATGATTAAAACGCGTTATATTCAAGTTTCTAATAGTAATTAAAACACTGATATACTGATGCATTTTTACTATATATACTAATAATATATCGTTATTAGAAATAGTTTTCTTCATTTCATTCTCCTACTTTGTTAATCCCACCAAACATGCTCGCCCTTTCAGCCG